CAATTCCAAAAAGTGCCATCCAAAGAATTAAAACCAGCTGATTTAGAAATAAGAAGAGCAAGAACCTGTAAACAATTAGGAGAAATGTGTAATTGCATCTAGATTACTTTACTTCCAGCCCTTCTATACTTTCCAATGCAGTGTTTGGCATCTGCAAATTAATTGGGCACATAGAGGGATGTGGTGGTTGGATTTGCACAGATGTTCTTGCTACCTCCCTACTGGGCTGGGAACTCAACCACTGGGAGTGTCTAATATAAAAGGGAAAGCCAGATCTTATAAAAGAGGTTCAAAGTTTATCCTGATCAGAGATACTGTAGAAACCTATCTCCTACCTATGAATTCAAAGATTTCCAACATTCACAAAATATGTTGTCATTTTTCTTTAAGAGAGATTTAACCATTTATCTAATCTAAAAGTTTATCTAGTTGGTTCTAGATGAATCTAGTTCATTACCGTGAAATTGCAGCTTTTTTCTGGTCTTCAAAATAATCAGCTTCATTAAATGATATTTGTGGCACCAAAAAGCTTGGTTTTCCCGATTTCTTCTTTTCTTCTGTTCCCTTTTCATTTTCTGAACTGCAAGAAAGTAATATCATTTGTTAGGGCTAAAACATATAAAGCTATAGTTCAAAGCTTCAATTACAGTTGCCAATCCAACCGCATACCTATATAGTTTATGTTTTGAATGGTGGCATTTGAAGAACTGAATATTTTTTTAGATATTTCAATTAATTATATTATGAGTAAAGAACCAGAAGATCTGACTTTCCTTACATGTATCTAAAAGATCCAAAATGGAGCTAGTGTCTTTCCTGCCCCAAGCTCTTGAGATAGGACCAAATTAACCATCATGAAGTGAGATGGAAACTAAGAGCAAATGCAGAAAATATCACTATAAAGCAAAATGGAGTCAGTTGTACTTGCATGCTTACTGTATTTCTTATTATCAAACCATTTTTTTCTAATTTCATTAGTGCCATTCATTTTTTTTTCTTTCATTAATGAAGGAGAGGGGGAATCAAATTATATTCATAGCTGCTTAGTTCTTATGGTTAAGTCATAGCTTCAATTCTGGATTATTAGTGAAATGGCATACATACTTCCCATGCACCCTAAGGGTCCTGACCCTTTGACTTTTTGGAGTCATTATTTGAGCTATATTAATAACATAATAAAGAAAATAAAAGAAAATAATCTCAGTAAATACACTGCTCATTCAACTAGCTTGTATTGTGAGACTGGTTCCCAGTTTTAGAAAGCACATGGCGATGGTAGATTTTCTAAGATGCGTTATGAGCTGTGTTGGCACAGTAGTTAGAATGCAGTACTGCAGGCTACTTAAACTGTTTCAACTTCTACCCTCCAAACAACACTATAGGGCACTGGACACCAGAACAACTAGAAAACAAGGACAGTTTTTTCCCCAAATGCCATCACAACTAATTCCCACAAGACTGTCAATAATTTACTAAGACCGTATTACTATTATTCCTCTCTTCCTTCCAATATATATCGCTCCCCACTTATGACTATAACTATGTTACTTGTATCTTTTAATTTATATTTTTATTTGTTTCCTAGTACTTGATAGCTTGACTATCACTAGTGTTTCATCTTTTTATTCTTGATGAATGTATTTTATTCTCCTTATGTATACTGAGAGNCAACAAGATTAAGAAGAAACACAACATGCACCCAGTCAACATGCACCCAGCCATGCCCACCCAGCTGGTCATTAGGCAAATCATATTAGTGGTCCGTGGGATTTAAAATTATGAATTTACTGGTCACTGAGGTCCAAAAGATTGGTGACCCCTGCCTTAAGAAAGCCTGAATAGGGAATGAGAAAGGTCCTTGTGAGACCAACAAGGAAAGCAAATGTTACTGGGTTGGGCTCTTATCTGCTCCAGCAGATAACAGCCCAGCAGCTCCTTGCCCTATTCAACAGGTTTCCTCAGAAATTTGCTCTGCTTTATCAATCCTCTTATCTGCTACTTGGTTTGCAGTTTTGCTGCCTGCTCTGCTTTGCCCATAAATCCTGAAAATATCCATCAATCTTTTTTTCTGTTACCTCTAGGAGTCTAGCAAAATGCTTTTGGAAACGACATAAGCTTGTTATCCATGTAACACAACTCGGAGTAATTTAGACAGATCACATTTTTCTCCCTCCATTTTCCCCAGTGGAAATGTTTACAGTGGAACACATTCAGATCTTTATTTGCATGCAGCAAGTAAGAAAAAGAAATTCAGAAAACATTTATTTAGCTGCTGCGCATCCAACTTTCAGAATATATCCCAGGAAAGATGCTGTCAGCCTTATGCTTAACTTTGTAATTTGAGGAAATGGGTCTACATACTTACAGAATAGCATAAACAATGAGTATGTGAGTCACCGACAAAAATAATTGAAAATTCATTCTGTCGAAAGATCCGAGGATTCCTGAAGAAACAATGAGAGAAAAAGAAAAATTAACCTAGCTTTTGAAAAATACTGCGGCTAAACACATGCAATAGTGGGGGATTACAAATGCAAAATAACAAAGAGATTCCATTTGATTCCTTTTTTTTCTCATCTATGAAATATATTAAATAAGTATGTTAATATAAGTTGCAGTTTAATGTTGCTTAATTAAAGGGAACTAGCTTTGTCTAGTTAACATGAACATGGTAAATCACGACACTTTTTTTTATCTCAAAAAGCCTTGATTAAAATTTACAGTTTAAATATATGATTACTCTATCAGCCAGATTAGGTTCTCTCACCATATGGGAGTTGCATTCGAAGATGTAAACTGAAATATGTTCAGAATAACAAGGCAAAGAAAGGAATTCCAAAAATACTCAAGGCTACAATTTGTGGTTAAGAAATTGATCTGCAAGCATATGCAGACTCCCTGCTATAAATTAAAGGAAATTGGGAAACTACATGGGAAGTCACAGTCCTTTTATGTTGTCACAGCTATAAATTAGGCCTCCTTCCCCGAATGTCTCTTATTCTTCCCTTTCTCCTACATTTTCCATATAAATCCACATATCATTTCATTTCAATCTAGAAAACTGTACTTCAAAACTGATTTACATAAACCCACCACCAATAATAAATAAATATTGTGTTGGAAAATAAGATCTGCATGCTAAGATCAGATCCAAATAGGCTAGAACAGATGAAAAAAAAAGAAAGAAATGGAGAAAAGATTGTCAAAGTATACCTAATCAAGAAATGTCACCTAGAAACAAGGAAGATCAAGGAAGGACTGGAAAGCATAAAGCAGTAAATAACAGCTATTGCCAAGGTGATCAGCAGATATGAAATTTGAATTGCACCTTGTAGGCAGAATCTCCAATTTCNGCCCCACCCCTATGGAATGATCTACCCCCAGAGATCCGGACCCTCCCCACTCTCTCAGCCTTCCGAAAGTCTACTAAGACCTGGGCTGTTCCGGCAGGCCTGGGGCTGTTGACCTCATGAACAAGGTCCAGCCCCACTAAGGTTGAGTGCATGATGTGTCTTTTTAATTTGTTCTTTTTGTATTTTAAATTTTTTAATATTCTTTTAGAATTGTTTTATGTAAGCTGCCCGGAGTCCTTCGGGATTGGGTAGCATATAAATTTATTAAATCTTGAATCTTGAAATACCTAATAAAAAAATAGTGGTTCCACTTTAAATTTCATCCCCAAAATCTCTCTGTGTAACTATGTATATTTTTCCGGTACTTTTTTTTTTTTTTGGCATGTCCACAGATATGTTTCCTCTTGTGCCATTTCCCACATTACTTTATGATTTATGTACTTTTGCAATGATTGATGGAGTTGTATACTATCTGTAAAATATTTTACAGCAATTGTCTTTCAAATCAAAGTTTGGTATGCATTTCATAAGCTTGTTTCATAGTTTTCCCCACTGCTGTATTGGAACTGTCCCTTTGAATCCCACTATAAAAAAAATGTTCTCTGATTGAGGTGCATTTAAACATAAATGAATTCATTGTACTTTCAGAAATAGTTTATTTTAAATATATAAATTACATTTCATAGAAATGACACAATTAACATCTCTGCTATATAAACAGAATGCTTGTTATTTACAGATATAGAATATTTTAAATAGCATTAATATGATCTAACTCATTTGAGAATTGAAGAATCAGGTACGTCTCTTATACAAATACCGTATTTTTTCAGACTATAAGACGCACCGGAGTATAAGACGCACCATGATTTCGAAGAGGTAAATAAAAAATGGTTTTGCGCTCTGCAGGCCTCCCAAACCCTCTGCACACGGTTTTTTCAAAACAAACAAACAAACAAACAAACAAACAAACAAACAAACAAACAAACCCTGCTTGTAGAGTGCTCCTGGCGATTAGGGGGGCAAAAATGAGTAAAAACCAGCTGATTTTCACAAAAACGGTGGTGTTCTTTGAAAAAAAGGCATGCAGAGGCTTTGGGAGGCTTGCAGAGTGCTCCTGGGGGTTGGGGGGGGGTGAAATGGCCCAATTTTTGCTCTTTTTTGCCCTACCTGGCCCTCAGGAGCACTTTGCAAGCATCCCAAACCCTCTGCTGATCCAGTTTTGCAAAGGGGGCGGGGTTTTAGTAAACCAAAAATGCGGTATTCAGTGTATAAGACACACCCAGATTTTCACCTTCTTTTTTTGAGGGAAAAAGGTACATCTTATACTCCGAAAAATACAGTAGTTGTCAACTTGCAACAATTTGTTTAATAACCATTCAAAGTTACAACGGTACTGAAAAAAGTGACGTATGACTGTTTTTCACACAACTGTTGCAAGATCCCCATGGTTACATAATCAAAATTTGAATGCTTGGCAACTGATTCATATTTATGATGGCTGTAATGTTGTAGGGATGTGTAATCACTTTTTGTGACCTTCTGATAAGTATAGTTATTGGGGAAGCCAGATTTACTTAACAACAGTGTTACTAACTTAACAGCTGCAATGGTTCACTTAACTGACAAGAAAGGTCATTAAATGTAGCCAAACACACTTAACAAATGTCTTGCTTAGCAACATAAATCTTGGGCTCAATTGTGGTCATAAATCGAGGACTATGTATATAGCAGAAGTTAAGGATTTTCTAATGGAAAAATTATGGCTTTAAATTAAAATGCTACGGACTAATATTGCACATTATTTCATCACTTGTTTTGAGATGCTGAACTCATGGATTAGCCATCTTTCCATAAGAATGAATGAAATGAAAGTTCCAATACAAATAAGATCGATTGCAATACCCCAATACAGTAAGATATACAGTATATAAAAAATAAAAGGAAAAATAAAGTAAAAAGCCACAAAACCTTGGCTTATAACTAATTTAAAGTATGTCAAATGTACAAGTTTATCAATTGGTTTGGTTGGAATAATATAGACTCCTATAATGATGTCTATATTAGTATCTGAACTTCACTTTAGTTTTATAGATGATTATGCTGTTTTATCTAAAAGGTTTAGGTTTATTGGACTTATTGGACTTATATCAATTGCGTAATTGGATACGAATGCACAGATTTCAGGCCACCTAAATTCAGGCTTAATATTGCTGACATATTTAAACTCAAGTAGAAATTAGGGCTATCACTTATACAAATGACTGTATTAGTGACTCACTAAGACCAATGTAATTCTAAAATAATGTCAAATTAAGGTCTAAAGATAGGCAGCTCGGTATAGTTGTTAAGGCACTGGGCTAGAAGCCATGAGAGCATGAGTTCTAGTCCCACCTTAGGCACAAAGCCAGCTGGAAGATGGAAGACCATGAAACAATCTCTCCTAGGAAGGCGGTAAACCAAACCACTTCAGAATCTTTGCCAACAAAACTGCAGGGACATACCAGGCTATTGACAGGAGTCAACAATCACTGAAACACACACACACATATAGAAACAAATTTCAACTGACTCAACGTGTTACTAACTTGGTCTGAGCCAACTCTATGGAATTAGGATTGTTAAACTTTGATTGTAAAAGTCCTCTGATGTGCTTTACTTGTACCTGGGCATGATAGAAAACTTTACCAATGAAGGCTTTGGTGGATATAGGTATACATGCATGTGTGCATTCATGATCCTGTGTAAAACAGGAACATATATTTAATTGCAGCTGAGCAAACAGCACAGATTCTATTTGGCAACTCTGTAGGAAGGTGCCAGAAAGAACTTGATCAAATCAGAAGGCTAACGTATTCACAAAATTAAATTTATAGAGTCCAGCTAATGCCATTCTGGATATGTTCAGACTTTCCTTCTTAGGTAGGGGAAAAAAGAAGGAAACTAGAATGTTCAAGATATAAGCATATACAAGCTATAAACTTTTCCAGACTTAGTTGCACAGCAAATTGTATATGCTCATATTGGTTGCTTAAAATACAGTACAACAGAATGGATTTATGGTAAGCTTAAGTAATATAACAGCAATAGCACTTAGACATATATACCTCTTCACAGTGCTTTACTGTTCTCTCTAAGCGCTTTACACAGTCAGCATATTGGCCCCAACAATCTGGGTCTGCATTTTACTAGGCTCAGAAGGAGGCTGAGTCAAACTTGAGCCAGTCAGGATAATAATAATAAGGCCTGAGATGGATCCTCTCAGTTATTCATCTTATACAGTGTAGACAAAGAAATGGATTGTCCTCTGAGAAAATAAGTTGCCCAAGAGTTGTGAATTTGAACTGAGCTCAAGTACACATAACTTGATTGGCTAAGCCTGATATTATCTTCAGAGTTGCTTATCTGGAGAAAAAATGTGCGAATGAAGTAATCAAAAGGCAATCGGCAGTTCACTTATTGTCTTCAAGTAGCTTCTGTAAATTGCTTTGTATCTTGGAGAAAAAAAATACAGAACACATTATATATGTCGATAAAACTAGCTGCTACATAGACAAGAGATGAATTGTTCAATAGGCATTATACCTAAAGTGGAATACTTTCTTTCATTGTGACTCAGTCCAGGTAAATCATAACATTGAAGATTACATTTTTAAAACTATTATGTCTAACCCTTACTCCTCCCAATATTGTCTTAGTACAATGTGTGTCTAGAGGAGGGGGCCCAACCTCCGGTCTGTGGACTGGCACCGGTCTGTGGCATGCCAGAACCTGGGCTGTGAAAACAAGTGAGGCTCCATCGGCGGGATGCAGGCGGCACATGAAGCCATGCCCCTTCTGGTCCGTAGTAAAACCTCTCTCCATGGAACCAGTCCCTGGTGCCCAAAAGGTTGGGGGCCGCTGGTCTAGAGAACAAGGTGACTTATTGCAACATTTGGAGAAAAGTGACTTTATCGTTACAAAATATGCTAAGAATTGAATGATTGGCTCCTCAGGTTGCCCAGTAGATGTTCATATAAGTCTATAGCATAGGAAGGGGCATTATAGTAGTAAGACTACATATAAGCTGACCTGAAAAGTAGATTAACTGAAGAGGCCTAAAATGTTTTAACTGGATATTTTCAAGTCTGTGAAGAATTACTGTTTCCAGGATCAGAATTTTATTAGTATTCAGCAGTGATGGCACAACCTTTGTTGAGGTTTGGCACAACCTTTGTTGTAATGTCACCCTCCACCCGCACAAAACAAAAGAGAAAAACAAGGAGGGCATATTCCATTCTTCTATTCCTCCATAGCTGCCAAAAATGGAATGAGAACAGGACTGCTTTCAAGAGTGTTGGGGAATGCTGGAATGGAGTGTCATCTTGGACACACATGACATTAGCTCACCACCACTGGTATACAGTATGGGGACATACAACATTTCAAAGAATTATATTTTTGTGGGTAGATTTTTGCCTAATGGAGAAAATTGGGGGGGGGGAGAGGAGAATGTTCTAGGAAATTTTCTTAAATTTTAATAGAATTTATCTTAGAAAGTTTTATTAGCATTCTTCATTATGTGGCTTTTTAGGCAAGCTATACCAATCAAAATATCTTCTACACAGCTATGAAAGATTTCAACCCTCTTTTGTTCCTATCCAGTTAAGAGGCATTTAACCATCTTTTCACCCCACTAAATCTCAATTTCATCTTTATGTTCATGAAATCTCCCCACTATTTTTGCTTTCTGTAGTTTAGCAATTCTTTCCAGTTACCTTTTCCAGTTTAATAAGATTAGCTGTTAGCTCGGCATATAGACTGTCAACATTAAATTTTTGGTGATATCCCAAGCCACCTTGTAATGGAAATCTGAAATAGAGAACATGGGTTGAGAAAGTGAGACAGCGTATAATTACAGATGGAATAAATTAAAAATCTAACATAAACAACATAAACCGGAACACAGCAGAAAAGACAAGTTTATTCCTTTACGCTGATATACACTGAATATAGCAACTTCATGATACAAGACTCATAACAGCAATGTACGTTCAGGTCATTTGGTAAAACAAAGATTTTGATTTTCTCTAAAAAAAAATATATAGCTCATGTGGCCCAGTTAATAGACAGTATTTGTAGAACAAGTGCTTTAAACAACTGGGTATGATTTTTCATTCAACAAATTAGGTAAGCATATTGCTTATGCTATTCTAAATGGCCAAAAGTGCATTGCAGCTATCAAAGCCAAAAGGGTCAGTTACATCCTTATTGAATTCATATGTTTATTGTTAAACCTATAACTCAGGTATTATGTGATGCAGGTGTAATTGACTACTATCTGGTCCAAATTTGTTGTATCTTCAACTGTATCTTTGGTGTGGTCTTTCATACAAAAGTTGCTTTACTGAAGCTGATATAGGCCATAGATTAATGCCTTAGTTTTATGTCTGAAGTTGACTTTTTTTTTCACAGGATCTCACTGCCTTAATACTCACTGACACTTTTATATCACCTTGAAATGTAAAGATGTTCCAAAAACTGGCTATAAGTAAGCAAAGATTGTACCATCAAAGAACAGTAGATGTTAAAAATTGGACATAGTTTGATATCAGCCTTACAAAATTGTGGACGGCAATCTTGACTCTAGTTCTAAGCCAACAAAATACTTTGAGCAGCAAACTCTTTCTAAATATCACAGAATGTTTACATTCACCAACTTAATACTCTTAATACTCTTTCTTTACAAGCAGCAGAAGGCAGACTCACAAACATCTTCTATGACAACAGAACCTACCCTTCTGGCTGAGATGCTGCTGAAATTCTAGCATATGCCCTATTTTATTGTAACTTTAAAATTTTAATTGTAAGAAAATGGAAATTTAACATACATTTACTTTGGTTATTATGAGTTGTGAGTCCTTTTCTTTTTGCACAGGGTTTATTAGCATTACACTAAAGCACTAAAACACTGTGTAAAGCACCACATATTATAAGGGTTTGTACAACTGGGCTACAATTAGATTCTCTGCACATACAAAATGTAACTCTGGTCCTATAACTTCAATAGCAGATATTTTTTGCAGAAATTCACTGAAAATTGTCTGTTTTCATGCTAGAAAAGTATTCACCTGCTAATTTTTTACAATACAGTAATCCAATCGCAACATGGTTGGGCATGAGTGACTGTCTGAAGGGCCTCCCAATTTAGAAAAGGGAACAACTGACACATTAGATATGCATGTCTACATGCCTTATGGCCCTCAGCTGTGACCAGCTGTTTGCACAAGAGGACACCGGGACTCCTCAGTCTTGAATGTGGAAGCGCAACCCCATTGAGGCTCAATAATGGCATGACTATTAAAACCACTAATGGATAAGATGAAATAATTAATGTAAAGGCAAAAAAAAGGCATCCACAGTGCTGTGCTGTAGTAGTGTGATATAATCTGCCAGGCTAGGACAATCATTTACTAAGGGTCCCCATTCTGTAAGATCTATGGGATGAGGGTAGGGCTTTTCATTGGTGGACTCTACCCAGTGAAACACGTTACCCCAGAAATGAGGATGGTCCCATCCCTTTTTAAATTCAGGGTGCATATTTAAACTGTATTGTTTCAATTGGCATGAAGCCTCTAGTTAGTCCTGGTGTCTCTTTTGCATTTAATTTTAATTATGGTTCTAACAGTTGTCTACTGATTGTGAAGTGAACATGACGATCATTAAGAGAACACCAGAAAGTGAATCCATGGTTTGTAATGGATGGTTTTCTTTCCCAGAAATTGGAAGTAAACACTGGTTTCTGGCAAAAAAATGTCATAAATTGTGACCACGGAATGTTACAAGTGGGCATAAATGTAGGCTGATTGCAAGGGTTCCAAATGTGATTGTGTGATCATGGATTGTTGGAACTTTAAATCTGGGTCATAAGAACATTTTTTGGAAGGGGGGAATCTTATAACTTGGAAAGGTCACTAAACAACAGGTCCTAAGTTGCAAACTACTTGTATATGGAAAAATACTTATTTTAAAATATGTTGGATAAACAAAAAGTCAATTTCATATAAAAGAAATGTAAAAATATAGTGTATGGTTATAAAAAGGGAGTGGGCAGCATATTTTACTAGTTTTGCAATTAACAACAAAAACAATAAATGTGCAGAAAAAGAAAAAGCAGGAAACTAGCCAGGCCAGATATGGGCCCTATGTGATATAGCTCAAGTCTTGAATTTGTTAATAATTATGTTTTTATCCTTGGCAGTGGTGTGTTTTTATATTATATATTTTTAAAATCTATTTTAGGGTTAGGGTTATAAATATAACAAACAACCAAATAAATGTTTAACAAGGGCAAGCCTGGTTAAAGAAGAATAAATGTAACACCAGAAAAAGTCAGAATGACAGCAACAATGTCGATATTGTTGATCAGTTAGATGTTATCTGCTTGGACTTTCAGACTTTTGATAAAGTCTCTCCCCAAAGATTTCTTGGAAAACTTATTACTCAGATGACTTATCTCTGGAATCATAAGCAGTTTATGTCTCAAGTTTTCATGTCCTGCTTGTATTTGACCATTGTGAGAAGTAGATATTGGGCTAGTCAGATTCTCACCTAGACCACATCATCTTTCTTGTTTTTAAATTTNCCCCTGGTTGGGGACCCCTGCCATAAAACATTAGCATTTGCAACTATCGTTTGGGTGCATATTACAGAAAAAATAGGCATGCATAATCGACAGAACACCATAAGCTATATTTATTTATAAATGAAGGCAAATATATGTGTTCCAGGATAATGATGCGAGATCAAATTTGGGTTGGTTACCGGGACCAGAGATTTACTCTTCCACACTTTTGGACTCATGCAGGAGCCCATCTTCAGGGAATTTCCCAGAATATGTGCTTTGGGTTGTTCTGTGAGTCACACTTATGTGATGCCTTCTTATTGGCTGAATGGTGTGTTGATGGCTGGCGATCGCCTGTCATTTTCTTGTGCTGCCAAACACTTGGCTCCTAAATATTTGATAAGCTGGGGCAATTCAGCATTCGTGTTAACTGACAAGGGGTCCATTTCCCGAGCTTCAATCATTTCCCTGGCTATTTTTGTACCTGTATGGTCTATATATTATATTTATGTTTTATTTATTTAAATATATTTATTATATTTATTTATATTTGTTTACCTTGATATCTTTGCCAAAGACTTTGGAATGGAAGCAAATCCAGTTCTCTGATACATATAGCTTCCCTTGGTACATAATTTCTTTCTGTAAGGCACAGGTGAAATCTACAAAGGTCAAATGAGTAATGTTATCTAACTGGGAATATGTACAGCCTGGCCAGGCAATGCATCTAACACACACTATATATCTAAGATAATTTTCTTAAAACAAATATTGCAAATTCAAAGGTAAGCCCTCTGCAAAGATTAAAAAGTCTGGAAAAATAGTCTAGTTGTCTTAGAATCTACATTGTGTATATGAATATTGAATAGAAAGAGCTATTAAGTACTAAATACCAGTAGACTCATTTAGCAACTACAATTGGGGACAGCAATTTGGACGTTAAGCAAAGCTGTCAATGTGAAGCCATGACTGTTTATGCTCTTACTATAATTTTCTTTTGCTTCACAGACTTGTAAAAGTTGTAGATATGGGGATTTGTCAGAAAATTACTTTTTTAATCATTACTGTAACTGTGAATAGTTGCTAAATGAGTCAGTCACTAAATGAGGAGTACCTGTACTGGGATTTTACATGGGAAAGCAAACTCATAATTAGAATGTGCTATGAACCCAAACTATATTGTGTGTATATGTGTGCCAAAAAAGGAAGCCTTTATGATTGCTGCCTTCTTATTCAGATAAAGTTCTCTTATACTGTGTCCCGTGCATGATCCATCTTTGTCTTCTCTTTTTGCCATCTGGCAGAGTTTGTTTAAACAAGCTATCCCTTATTGAGTTGCTTTTCTCTGCAGAAGAGTATGTCCCTAAAAATGTTAAGGTAAGTTAATAAACTCAGATCTGTGACCTTGATGAGCGGATTAGAAACCTCCTGCAGACTGGCAGGTCCTGCCTGAAACTGACCAGACCTTAATCAGTTTTACCCTGAAGGCTTTTTGTTGTCCTAAATGCTGCCTTGGTTAGAAAATGAATTTTTATTACTGTTGTATTTGTGAATGGTTACTATTCAAAGCAAAATTACCAAATAAGGATTACCTGTAGAAAACATGACTTACAAAAATGCAACATAACAGATAAAAAGAGTATTCTGCTTACTTTGTCTCAAGGGTTCATCAATTGGGACATCCAGAAACAGCTTGTGAAAATGAGCATTTGCCTTAAACTAAAGCAAAACAAACAAACAAACAAACAAACCAGAATTTGGTTACTGCTATTTAACAATCATTATCCGTGTTTGCCTAGTTTATTATTAAATCCTGGGCATAGTGGTTTTTTTTTCCATCAGCAGATGGAAAGGACTGGAACTGTACTATATTGAGTGCACATACTTCTCAAAAACAGAATGAAGAAATCCATAGGAACATGAGACATATAAAAAAGTGCAGGGCTTAGATGGTGTATTTGCAGTTGCTATCTTGACTGTTTTTGACTTCCTGCTTCCATCAATCAGAATCAGAATCAGAATCTAATATTCTGGAAAGGTCAGTTTGTTCCTGTTCCAGGCTGGAAACAGAGTTTATACATTCAAAAGAAACTCATCTCTGTATGTACTAGGTAGAATTATTTTGATCCCAATTATTTTCCAAGCTTGGCACAGTGTTTATACATAAAAACCACACAGACAACAAACTGTGCCTAAGGCAGTGGTGGGATATGACCGGTACACCTCAGTAGGGATGTACCGGTGCCTG